ATGTAAACAAAGATGTAAGAACTCACTTTACATCCGTTAAATAAATCTGTTAAATATTTATATCTCAGAAGTAACGGCCGGGACGGACAGTTCATGGAGATGAACGGGGTTATAACCATCTTTTGCTATGCATTGTTTTATTCCGTAAGATGCAAATGTAACGTATATTATTTGTTCTATTAAGTCTACGACCTACTGTTCTACACAATCACAATCACAAGTCATATCAATTGATAAAAAAGAATTATTTTCCCACGATTACATCGTTTTACTTGGCGGTCAGCGTGTGCTTACAATGACTAGATACGATGATATTAACGAGGATGTAAAAGGTGCACGGCGTAACTCGGGCTTTATTGGCGAAACCCTGAAAAAATGTGACGAAAGGAGGACGCTTATATGGTCGGTATGTAAGTGGACGATGTGATGCTGCTCCTCAACAGCGTGTCCGAGGTGTGTTGCGCGCCGGAACCCTTGCGAGATGCGCGCTTATGCGGATGAAGATTCAACGGGGGTAAGTTCGGATGCTCGATTCTCGTCGGGGAACTCACGTGCGGGCGAAGGGTTCCTCTCTGAATCGTAAGTATCCCTAAAATCACATGAGATTTATTATTACTCTCAACAAAGGTAACACACATGGCGTGTCCGTCCAGAATTTGTTTCTTCCATGTAAAAGCTCACATTGTGTGCATTACTCATATATTCGTGCTATACGGAACCTCTAATTCGAGCTAATTAGTATTAAATCACAGAATTTACAGTTTAGTTAATCTGACGTTAATTAAAGGGATCCGTTATATACGCTCGCTGAAAACATTTTAGGAAAATTTATTGTGTTCTTAAAATGCATCGTGTTGTGTCGAGGTTGGATTACCGGACTCATTCGGTTCCAGAACATCGTTGAGCTGATAATATTCAGTCTTGATGGACAATGGTTCCTCGTAATCTACGAAAGCAGTGTTATCAAAAGCTTTGTCATCCTTCGGACGATTTTGCACCGGGCTAATAGGTGGTGGATCGGCATACGTCTATAAAATTATTAGTTTACATTCACACATGTTCTATACGAAATGGATTCACTTCATTATCTTAATTAGATATCTGGCAAGCAAATTGAGCCATCTTTCATATAGAGACGAAAACGTTGATAACCCAATGATCTCTAAATAATAAGCGATTGAAAGCAAAGGAGAATTTTTCTCAAAAGCCAAGTTTTAATGATAGAGGATAATGTACCCCCCGTTGAAGAATTTCAAGTCCATTTTGTATAAATAAATGGATAATAAAACATTATTCTTCACTTAATTGCGTTTAATTTTACCTCAATTCTTATTTAATTAACTTACCCATCGACAAATCCACAACTTAACAATTAATAATAGAAATATTTAACGTTAAAGTTAAAAATTCATTTTATTCGTCAAAAATGTATCTTTGCCAGGAAAGATAAACTCTAATTTAATCAAGAAAAGTCAGAAAGAATAAGAGAATAATAAATAAGCATCACGAAAAGGCTCACTGGGGAAATTTTTCTAGGATATTTTGCGCATGAAACAAATAATTGTCGTGTAATACAAACGTATTGTTAGATTGCCTTGAGTTTTACATGTTCGGTTGGTGTAGTCGAACAGGCACGTTTGTGGAACTGGCCACTGCCGATGGTTTCATACGTATGCTCCTCCAGATAGTGCCTCGTGGTCCCGCGTGGGGTAAGGGTGGCCCACATGACTCGACTGTCCTGCATGGTGTCTGCCGCACAAGGGTAGAGCACCGCCTCGTTCTGAAGCCGACCATTTTTCGTCTGCATGCCGGAGGTTGCATTCGGCATGGAGATCACTCCGCCTTTCCCGTTTCTGTTGCTATTATATTTATCGATTTTATTTTGCATTTTTCACGCAGAAAAGAATGACATACCAGAAACATCGCGAAACTAGACTACTGGAATTGTCTCAAATCTGTTATTATTATTTCGTTATTACTTTGCAGTAACGTTGATGTGTAGGAATAAAATCCGGCTTTAATTCATTATTGATATCTTTTAAGCATCTTTCAAACAAATATAAAAGTCTTAAAGATAAACTAGATATTATACTTGCTATTTAATTGTTAGCCCGAATTATATTTACTGGTATATCATTTCAGACTAGTTTTCCCTATAAAGTAAAAAAAAATACTTACAATTTGCATTTTAAGAGCAACGTCGCGAGTACTATGCCAATAAAAATAACACCGACGCACGATGATATTAGGATCAGGAGCCACGTATCGTCAAAGACGGTCCCTAAAAATTTGTATAGATATGTTTTACATCCAAATTTAGTTTAAATGATTCGATTGTTATTAAAATCTACAGAATAGTTATCAAAGTAAAATATATTAAATTAAGTCTCGTCTTTTCATCTAAAAGAAAATAGTCGCTTCTTCGCTAACCTTGTTGAGGCATTTCTATATATTGAACTCCTTCGGAACGCCGGTCGCAGAAGTGCTTGCAGGGACTGTCATTTAAATGCGGTGGAAATGGTAAGATGTCAGAGCTCGGATAAAAGTCGGAACCTTGCTGAAGAATAGCCGGGAATGGTGGCGGGGGTATGTGAAGGATGTCGGGAGGTGGTTCGAGTGTACAGTAAGCACAAGTTGAATTCATAATTGTGTCCAATGCTCTCATCTGTAAATTCATAAATTAACTAAGCTGAATTTTTTGTAATAATAAAATATAAACAATTTTTAACGAGTGTTATAATGTCGATTATTATATGTGATATCAATTAGAAGCTTTAGACAATCTTAATATGTCAGATTTCAAAATACAATGTCTTAATACATGTATTTTAATATATTTTATGCATGTATGTGTGCGTATTTTTATTCTTCAAATGTTCTTTGTATTATTACACGGCATATAAAATTATAAATCAAATTCTATACTAAGTTCTAACACAAATTGTAGATTGCCTGAAAATGATCTTAATTGTAACCTTTTATTCTCTATGTCTGTGATCTAATAAACATTAATTTATATCAGACTGATAATTCTCTATGCCTAAATGATTGACAAAGAGTTATTAATATTATTGTTGTAAAAATAACAATATCTAATATCTATTTTGAAAATTATCATGCAAATTATTTCTATCAAAGTGTGAATCTTTCTGCTTCTAAATAAATGAAATAATTGATAAACATGCAACAAGTTTTTGTAATAAAAATTATATTAAAGATAAGAATGATTTTTCAAATAATAAATATTATTATATATCTTTAAATATATGTATATTTCTATCTAAACTTACATAAATAAGTAAAATATAAGAAATAAAAATATAAATTTAAAAAAAATATATTGTTATAACATGAGCATTTAAACCAAAATGTCTAATAAATTAAACCAAATAAATATATGTAAAACCTTCAAAAGTAACGAGACAACGTTAAATCTCCAGTGTGTCTTTCATTCCGTTTCCTTCCTCGACTTCTCGATTGTGTTTCCGCGTCTACATCGTCGAATTAAGCATCGATCTCACGCAAAAATAAGCCGAGGATGTTCAAGTAAATTCGTCCATTTTCCACACGTCACGGATCACTTCGTACGAGCACAATCAAGAAGAATATGACCGTGATAAGAAAATTCACTCTTACCATTGAGCACTAGCTGCGAGTCTGATAGCGGAGGGTAGTATCGGACCAGTACAGGGCGCACGCGCGTTTTTATTGAACGTAAATGGCAAACATAGCCAGTTACAAGGAGTGAGCTATAGGCACCCAAATCCCAAATTCCAATGTAATTCCAAATTCCACCCGTTCTGTTATACAAGAAAAGTATATTTTTTATTTGACATTTTTTTCGTGCTACTTGTGAACTGATTTCATTACGTATTTATTATAATATTTGTTAGCATTTTATTATTTTTTAGATAGAAGAAGCTGTCTCTCGAAACGCGAGAGTGTTATATATCGCAAACACGTAGTGATCATTAGCCTGGCGATTACGTAACTCCCTCATACTATACGTTTACGCGAGCGTTACTTCTGTAGTAACTTACGATATGTCATTCGTTTACGCGGAGTAAATTATCGTAAGTTACTGCAAAATCCCGTTTACGCGAAAAAATTATCGTAAGTTACTACAGAAGTAACGCTCGCGTAAACGTAGTAACAGTCAGTACGTGAGGGGTATCGAGGCGACGGTGGCTGTTTACGCGGAACAGATATTTTTGCGCGATTTATCTATATTTAAGAAATATAATACGTGCACAAATATAAAAGAGTTTTATCTATAATTTTACATACGTATTTCCAATATATGTGTACATTTTATTGTAATATATATTTTATATACATGCATATTCGGGAATCCAGGAATGGAAATTACAATTCTATAACTATCATTTTTTGCCGCGATATATATTTCGCACAAAATCTTTCGTTAAAGTTGCTTAAATTTTAGTATAGATATGTATAAAATTTCATGGCGGAATTTGGGATCGAGTTCTGTTTATAATTTTGTATACCGTATATTGCGAGCGAAATTTATAAACTTCGAATATATATAAAATATATATTCTATTAAAATACACACGCACATTGGAGTACGCATGAAACGTACTCTTTCTTAATTAAAGAGGCACATTTTGTAAATTAATATTAATTTTAATTTATATTAGTATCACGTAATATATTATTTAATTTAATATTTTTATATATTATTTAAATAAAAAATAAACTTAGGTATTATTTAAGTGTTATTATATATTTTATTATAAAAATATAATTTATAAATTTATTATAAATTAATTTTATAAAATTATTTATTGGTATATTCTTTATATACAATGCACAAATAAACGCTGCACAAATTTAAATAATAAAATAGTTTCATTTACATCGTCATCTTAATTTTCTTTACATCACATATACATACACATATACATATATTATATATATATGTGTAATACTGTGTATATGTATATGTAATGATCTCGTCTCGATGTAGGTAAAAATATCAACGTATTATCTACATTATCATCTTATGCTATTTTATAATCGGCGTTTCTTACCAAAGAAGAATAAGAGAAAGAAGTAAAGAAGTACGCCATTATTTCGTGAGAGGCGCTGATTCACTGATTGTTGATCAACAGATGCAATCACTAATCAGATGCAACTCCATCGGAGCTGTTTAGGATTTTCAACATAATATTGAAAGTACAAGAATGACGTTGTCCTACAGTTATATGCCGGATTATTTTTCTCTGACGGATATTTTGTGCACGGAGGAACGGATATCGTGCAAAGTAGAAGTCTCGCTACCTCGCTTGGGTAAGCTTATCGAGATTTCTCATCACACCTTTCCTGTATTAAAACTAAAACACTGAAACTTGTTTATCGATCCTTAATGTAATATAATAACAAGAACGAGAAAAATGAAATGGAATTGTATTCCTTCACAGAAGGAGCGTTTCTGAACTGTATACTTATTGATTAAGCTTTTAGCTTGTACTTATGATGAAAATTGTGATAAAGTTCCCCGATCTAGAGCAGTATTTTAATAAAAGTCAGATATTTTATTCCCCATGTTATATTTATTTTGCACATAGAAAGTAAGAGTTTATTCTTGTACATATAATTGTTCTACGTTGTGTCCTATTGCCCATACAGGTTTTCTGGATCTTTCTTCCGAGTCGGAGGACCTGAAACCAGGTACAAAGTTGGAACTTCCACTATGGTTGGCGCAACCGTTGAATAGAGTAAGGGAATCAATAGTCAGCGTAGACATACCCAAGACATACAAGGAAGGCTACAGGTATGTACATATTTGCCCGAATGCATAGTGGAATTAATTTTTATTAAGATCACGAGAAGAATTCTCTAACAGCGATGTTTCTCGTATGTGTTGCAGAGAAATTTTATTAGCAGACGCTTGTACTGTCGTACTTAATAAATGGAATCCGTATTATTACGAACTGGGAATGTATTTGAGAAGGTTCAACAATCGCGATTGCGAAATGATAATTGACAGTTTGTTACTAGTAAGTGGTGTGCTAACTTTAAGCTGTTCGTCAACTGATTCGCATTCATTATGTAATTATATATATCCCGTGTCTTTCAGACCTTCAGGTCGCGATTTAGACTAGTCATGGACTGGGCACAAAATCCTGTTTCCGATCCCACGCTTAATAGTTTACTGCCGAGATTAGAGAGAGACTTGTTCCTCACAGGCAGGAAGGCCAAGTTGCAATTGAACGAATGGTTAAGGGAAGGCTCGAGCGTTATCGAAACTTCACAGAGCGCTGTGAATCTTAAAAAGCGAAAACGAACAGATTACGAACTGGATTGAAACGTGCGCTGCATACGATACATGTGATAAAACAAATATAAAGTACGATAAATTATATACTTACTACGCGGTGTAATTTTTTTTTATACGAATGATTAATAAGCGCGATTGTAATATTAAATAAAATTTATTGTCTTATACATTGAAACTACATATCCCTTTATTTAAAGATACAAATATATCTGTGTAACTTATTACTTATTAAATAACAAATAAAAACTTTATATATATATATGTATATATGTATACATACGTATTTTGTATGGAATCAGTCACATTCGAACTGTTAACAATATAATAGAAAGGATCATACAACAAAAAGTGATAATATCTATTTCACAACCCATGACTAAAAATTGTTAAAATATCTTAGTAGATATATGCAATAAAACACTAATATATTACACTTTTCAGCGGAATATCGTTTTATTATTAACAATGATAATCGCGCATATTTCTTTTCTCTTGCACTACGTTATACCTTACATTAGACGTTAATGTTTATTAAACTCTTCGTACAAAAATATAAAATATATATTTGCCGGTCTAATTTGCTGTATCTACGACTTATATTAAAACATGTCTTTTTATGTAGTACTATGTGTTGTGAAACATTGTTTATATATATATATATAGGTATATATGTGCGTGTGACACTGGATACATGTCATGAGAAACCATACAAAATATAGTATCTAATGCAAATATGGTATATTCATAAAATTATTGCAATAAGAGAAAATCAAATTATAGTAGAATTCAGACAAAAAAGAAGAAAATAACAATGCTTGTACAGTTTGCAAATAAAATTATTTGCGATTTCAACTACTTAACGCACATACATTGCGTAAATCTTTTAGATCAAAGCCCGCTCTTATCAGGCGTGCCGGATATTTTCGAGATGAAAGCGATTTGCTAGTCCGTCTCAAGTCATATTTGCACGGAATTATTCTCATGGTTCACAATTGTTCTCGCGTATAATTATAGCTCAAATCCCCGAGCGATCAATGCATGACCGATATATGTGTTTATATTACATTATAATTGATACTCATTATACTTCTCTATCTCGTTAACTTTACTTGTTATCTGATTATTATGCTATTGCTTTCTATCCGGCCATAATGTCAGTGTTGACATTTCGCTAAAGACTAACACCGCGATAAGATGCACTAGCCATTTTTTGATTAGGCACAGGCCGCTGTGGCAGACCGGTTTATTGCTCGACATTCGCACGCATAAAATGGCCAACCGCCTGTGCATTCCTCATCACTACTAACGGTAAATTGCATTGCAATGGCGCACTTTTCATTTTGCAGAGGACCCGCGATGATTATTATGTCAGCGCGCGTGTCCTATCAGCTATTTTAAGACTACCTATAACGTTTATATTGATACAGCTATAATTGGAATGTTATACGTATTGTTATTCATTGCTGCATCATGCTATTTACACTATATCACGAACTACAGCGAACGCTATTCACCCAATTCGGACTGAGCAGAATAGTAAAAAAATACATATATATATTTCTCGTTACATCAACGCTGATGTTTCTTATTGTTTCTGATTACTTAACTCGACTTGCAAACATACCTCTGTATGTACAACAATAATAGTCGAATATGGACTTACATTCTATTCTCTAAGTCAGGGTTCGAAACCGATATTATTTTGATGAATTCGAATTTCGATGTCGTAAGATACACCAAATTGAATTTTATTAGTCAGACGCAATAAAAGTGCTGCAATCAATGACAAGGCTAAGAGTTTTTTTTTATACAAACGAAAACCCATCGTATAGATTGCCTCGGTTTCAGTCCCTGTTCCAAATTAGTTGCTAATGATTATTATTGTCAATTGCACGATTGTATTACACGCATTATCCTCTAGTCCTAGCCTGGACTTCGGAAACGGCCCGAATACTATCGCAACAGTAACAGTAGCAATAATAATGGCAAGACACGATCTTATCGCTTATCACATTCATCTTGGTCGGCGATCAATCGGTATCTGTACAGGTGCGGGTCTTGGCTAATCGTGAGCCGCAGGAAATGTGACCACAGCATGCCGCGCCGTAAAAATTACAATCATGTAAATCTGGATTCTTTCGCGTTAACTCCTCTCACATGTTGCACCATTTGCAACAAGTGTCGATCTTTCATCTCTTCCTCACATCCCGCCTTATTTTGCGGACCAACGATCACATTTCATTTGATTAACATAATACGCGCAGTTTTATTAATTGAGCAACAATTTTTGAGCAAAATAGCGTCGTTGGCTATTCAGCGGTGAGCTCAGTTCCCGAAACTAGTCAGAAGCTGGTCTCGGGCTCAAGACTGGGCTCCTGCTTGAAGTATCTAAAGTCCTGGTTCGGCGTGAGATCCCTCAGGATCATGACGGGCATCTGATCGGTTTGCGGGCTCAGATTGCCAGTATTCGCCGGCGTCAGGGGGCTGCTGGGGCTCTCGTTGCTGCTCATATAACTGCCTGGCGCGGTGTTCGAGATTGGTAAGGGGGTAGCGGTGCCGTTCATCTCCGACGTGGTGCCGCCCAGGAATATCTCCTGAAGCAGATTGTCAATATGTGCCACCCCGAATAGGCGGACGAACTGGATCTGCTCGACCATCTGCCATGAGATCGACTGCAGAGCGGGTAACATTAGCAGGATATCACCGAAGTGCCCTGGCAGATCGCAACGGTGATCGCTGATATGATTCTCGAGCTTTACTTGGATGTTGTGGCGCAGCTCCCGGACCGTCTTCTGATCGCTCAATCCTTTCGCGTCTGCAACAAATGACGAACATATAGAAAAGAAGCGTAATTGTCCCCGATCGCAGGGAGTGGACAGTTTTAGTTACTCGGAGGCCGTTCGATCGCGACAATTCACTCTCGATTCTGAATCACGTTAATTATAAATTAATCGACGAATGAAAATACGACGATGAAATATTAAATTAATCAGCTTATTAAATCTTGACGTATCCGTTGGAATGCGCAATTTTTTTCACTCTGACTCGCTGATATCTATAAATAAGCGATGATTTGCGTTGTTTATGAAAGCCTGGCGAAGTTGTAAGGCGTGATTGCCTCAACGAGACCGAATTGATCGCAAGAGCGTAGAGATTATTGCGAGCGAATTGTATTCGATCTATATTAACGGCACGCATTTATTGTCTATTACACGCGGCAATGTTTTTCTATTCCGCTCGATTCCACATGAATAATCCATTGCGAATCGCGAATTGTCGCACGACGATCCTTCGAATGGAACACTTACTCGGGTCAAAGAACACGATGGCTTTGAGAAAAGCGAACTCCGTGTCGTCAATCTTGATCTTCTGAAACGGTTTCACCAGCTCGTCCATCACCCTGACGCCCACCTTGCTGATGTCCAGGTCCTGCTGATTGCTCCCCTCTACAAATTGCAATGATATTACTGATAGACGCGATACACCGTTGTTCCTTCGTTCGTCTCACAGAAACTGAGTCCGGTGGTAAAAGAAAAGAAAAAACAGTATACCTCGCAGGTATTACTAAGCCGATGCGAAAGTCGTTTTTCCGTCAAACTTTGTACCAAATAAAGGCAGAAAATCACAAAATTACTTAAGAAAGGGATGAAAAACTTTATCAAATTAAAGGAGAGATTCGCTGAATATTCGTCTTCAATTTTATTTGATAAATATATGGACGGATAAGTAGACTGTCTGCATCAACTTAATAGATATCGCCAAACCAAACATCAGTGTTCATGCATTAACATGCATTTTAAAGTGACACACAACACACGAATTCCGGACTCAGTCAACCACCTAAGCCCCGTAATCGTGCAACAACAGACAAAACGTTCAGTTAATAAAATAGTAGATTGTCAGCGCGTTACGATTCGTTATTATATTATAAAGCAAGCACAAATTTCCCTGGCACAAATTAATATTACAAATATAGCCAGGAAAATTATATTTATTCCGATAAAAAAATATTCGAATTATCCAAAATAATTATTAACCAATTATATATTTGAATTCATCATAACTCAAATTCATATATTTGAATTATCCAAATTTTAATACTCGATTAGTCGAATTCACAAATTCATAAATTCGGATCCAAATTACAAAAAAATTTAGTAGAGAACTGACTGCAAAATCCAATTCCCCGAAATTTATTGAAATTACACGTGATTTGTTACATACTTATTACATGTATAAAGAGATTGCTTTAATGAAAATAAATACAATGCATACCAAAAATTTGTAGAAACATGAAATTTGAAACTTGGTCAAGCATTTTCTGATTTTGAAAGAAACTTTTAAGAGAATACTCATTGATTTACTTGCTCAGACGATAGATAACTTCTTCCGGTTGTAACAATATTCTCTGAAAAACGCTCTTTCAAAACAGGAACAGCTAAATAAGTTCTAACTAATTGAGCAATTAGTCCTCTGCTCATTGCGTAATAACTCTGTGTAATATCTCTTGAAATGAATAGTTCAAATCCAAATTAATAAGTTCGCAGATTTGGGTGAATTCGACTCTTCGGGTATCAGAATCCGATAATTTATCCAGATAATTTAGATATTCGGAGTTGAGTAATCGCAATAATTAATTTATCCGAAATATCAACCAATTCGGATCTTGTTTCTCAGTTTGAATATATCGTTACTCTTCAGCGCAGAGCTGAAATTTAATTGTCGACAATAAGATGATAAGTTCCTTATCCGCGTATTTACATTTATCGTAATTAGAAGATTTCGAACTAAACGAGTCGCTTTGCGCGTGACCCTCAACACCAAACCTCTTTCCATTAAGTAAAGTTAATCACAAGAAGAGATAACATATTCTGCCCGAAATTGTTTTACATTGTAAAGAGCGATTAGCTCGCGACAAGATAAATGACGTGACACAATCCATTTATCAATCGCATGTTACAATCGACATAATGCAACTTGTCCTCGTAGTGAAACAAAATGGCAAATTTTAAATAGAAATGTGAAGTGTTACATTACGAGGACCACCTATCTGTTTCGCAGAGTTACTCCGACTTATAGAAATTAGATTAACATATCTGCATAATAATTAGGATTGACAATTAAATATCTGATTGTGAGTCGAAAGAAAATTGCAGGTGTTCAAGTAAAATTAATTCTCATTCGATATATATTTCCGTGTTTTTTATTCAGTACAAAAACGCGTAAGACGATGAGAATTACGTGGATATTTGTAACGCATTATATAAAACTTATACTAACATAACAATAAACAAGCATATTCACTCGTCGATATAATATCGAACGTATTTGCCACGTATTTCGGAAGGAAATACGAGAAAAACGAAAGACAGAGAAATCTTGTGTGCAAGAGGTATTTTTATATCTCGCGACTCACCATATAAATCCGGTATGCGAGGAAAGACCTACGTGTTCATCGATAAAAAATTAAAATATTATGATATCGTCGTGGCACACGTGAGTCTTACATATACATCGACAAGAAAACTATTTGTAGACGAACGAAAGCAATCGCTCTAGCTCTGGTATATAACGCTTTTCGTTTGAGAAAATCTCTCTTCTCCTTCTCTCACCGGCGAGATCACCAATTAAAATTAAAATACCGTTACGGTTTTATTACGGGATCATGGTGAAACGGGATATAACGTTTTTGAAGGTATTAGCGCCGAGTCGCGTAAGCGGCCGCTCGACCACGAATAAATTACGGCCTCCGCGACATAATATATGTGGACGGCAAAATTACGTAAGCAAAAAGGTGAAGGTCGCCGTCGAATCGGCTATTTAGAGGAAGAGGCTCTCTTTCAAGCGTACACGACTGTCGGGGGGGAAAAAAAATGCTGACACGGGCTTGCGCCCGTGAGGACGCGTCGCTCTAATATCGGCGGCTTTTGTCGACGGCAGTCAAGATATCTTCGCTCGCTTGATAAGAAACCACATATTCATGCTGTCGGAACGTTCCCGTGTGTTTTACGTATGAACGTTTTACGTATGCGGGAAACGCTGCTTAAATATTTACCAAAAAGATCGATCCTTTTCAAGCTTTACTTATTAAAAATAGGAAAAAGGTGTTTCTTCTGTAAGCTCTATAAATTTCTTCGAAGCTTTTGGATTTATTGAAATTTTGAAATATAATAAGTATAAAGACTATAAAGATTCGAAGACGCGACTCGATACAGAATCAAGAAACGGAGAACGTGTCTTTAAAATAATAATATATTCTGGTCATTAAGAGGACTCTGTTTTTATACTCACTACAGCCATATTGAATTATGATGCAGTCAGAAGCAAAGGATCACGTGGATCTCTTCCTGCGCTATACGTCGAAATAAATTAATCTTTTCGCATGCCGTCATGCGCCTTCGATAATACGAATTGGTAAAATACATTAAAGACTCTCTTTCCGATTCGTAGATTAATAAATAACTGTGAATTTTGATTAATTATTGTAGGATCAATTTTCATCGGAAATAAATAAACAACTATATATTTGCTAGTAGAGGAATTTTTCGGTATGATATTTTACCGAAAGGATTAATTTGTTTTGACTTAATGTAATTCAATCTGGCTGCAATAAAGAAACGAGAATTTTAAAGATGCATGAAGAAACATCTTTTCCATTACATTGGATTCGCCCGGGTATAAAAAAGTTTTTTAGTTTCTGTTTATTATTTCTTGCAAATGTTTCGTATTTATTTTAATTACTGTATTTTGCACATTGCATGCATAAATAGAATGTCTGAGATAAGATGGATCGTTTGCGCAACGCGCGCCAGAAGTTAGTCAAGATCTGCCTATTATTTCACCTTCGTTCGAAAAGAAATGTTACCAATCTCAAAGAATTCTCAAACATATTCTCCCATGCCCCCATACGCACATTTAATATTGTATCCTCGTTATATTTAATATCGTTATTTAGCGAAGCCGAAACGCGGCATACAAATGTTAGGAACAAGCGTGAACGGAGCGCGGATCGGCGTCGGACGCACTTACGAAACTTTATCGAAAGGTGTTCACGCGTCTTCATGAACACGAGTCCAAAGAGACGGATGTCTGAAAATGGGTAAGGAACCGTGTTCGACGAACCGTCCAAAATCTCCTCCTCGCGTACTCAAGATATCCTTTAGGCGTTTATTTTACAGTCAGAATTTTTTACGCTCGACACCACTCGCTCCGTTCGAGGAAAGAAAAATCTTAGGCGCTACAGAAACCGTACAACCCGATAAGTCTGGGAACTCTACGTACCAGGACAGTTCCTCATAATGATGCAATCGTTGCCGAGCAGTAGCACGTCCGTGAAGTTCCTGCTACGTCTCGCCACTCCCAGCAACAGGTGCTCGCCCGCGTGGGCCCTCAGCAACGCGACTTGGTCGTCCAGCGACAACGCTTTGAACTCGTCGAAACACTTGGCCCACTCGATCAAAATCAGCAATTGCTCCTTCATGCTGTCGCACACGTCGTTTATACCAGCTATCCGCTTTGTGCTGAGGTCGATTTCGCCGTTTGGACTGTCTGGCTGCTGAAGCTACACAAATGTGCCAATATCGCGTTAAAGGAAGCAAATTCCAGATATGCATCGAAAGGAGAAAGAGAGAGAGAGAAAGAGAGAGAGAGAGAGAGAGAAAGAGAAAGAGGGGACTACTCTGTAGTTCGTAATCTATTCTGCAGAGGTATTAATTAAATAAATAACTGAAATATATATCAGAATTTTTTATGCATGGTCTTATTTTACAAGCATAAATAAATTAATAAATCGATTCGACAAAGTTAAAGAGAAAGTATAAAATATTGCGTGTTTATTGTAAACACAGATACACGAGCGAATTTCTAAGCAGACTCTACGGAGACTTGAAATTATATTAATATAAAAATATATAAGTGCTGCTTCTTTCTTTTCCATATTAAATACTAATCTAATAAATTATAATAAACTTAAATGGCCAGCCTCGAATTTGAGCGTTGATTAATCACAAAGCGGAAATTTAAATTATTAATTTAAAGCGTTAAAAAAAATGTTTAACAAGTTAAATTCTTTTGGCAAACGTTTAGCATGAGTTTGCAAAATGCGATATCTTCACGATTGCTTTACGATTGCTTCACTTTCAATATGAAAAATGAAGAAGTTCGATCATCATCGAATTCAAGAAAGGATCAAGTAAATTTTATAACGCTCGCTTGGCGGATGATGATAAGAATTGCTAAACGCACAATATTGACGGAATTAAGCGGTGGGTCGAATTTTCATGCGTGTGTTAACGAGCGATTTATAAATATTCAATTCAGCCGGAGGTCAAGCCCTCACCTCTAACACGCCAACTTGTTTGCTGAGCATTTCGGCGCGTGCATCCGCCTTCACCACGTCCTCCTTCGACGGACCCTTATTCTTGTCAGGCGGGTCCTCATTGCTGGGTCGCCGACAGCTTATCCGGTCCCTTTCGTTTTGCACGGCTGTGAAAATTATCAGGAATTTTTTCCTCGGCTCAACGTAAGCTCTCTACTCTTCAGGCAGAAGAGTAATAAAGACATGCTCGTAAAAATGAATTCCGCGTAAAAAAAAATCTGCAAAATTAAGGAACGAGTACTGTCACGTATTAACTACGCGACATGCGATTAGATATATATACTTTATTTGGAGAAAAAGCAAGGTTTAAAAGATTCGTTTCTACTGTCTTTCGGGAGTAAAATTTCGTAATGCGCGATAGATGACTTTACAAAAAAAAACTCACCCTCTTTCTTCATGCCGGCTCTGTAACATTTCCGAAGTCGGCAGTACCTGCATTGATTTCGCTTGTCCCTATCAATCGGGCACTTCCTTTGAAATCTGTAAAAGATAGGAAAAGAAAAGAGGAGAAATAATTCAATAATTCTTTTTCTCCTTCAAGGAATAGCTTCGCTACGTTATAACTCGAGGCCAACGCGCGTCGGACGGGCATTGATATATCATTAAAATATTGCAATATAAGCTTACCTGCACGTGTACGAATGATTCTTTCTAACTGATCGGCGGAAGAAACCCTTGCAGCCATCGCAGGACGCCGCGCCGTAGTGCTTCCCCGTGGCGCGATCGCTGCATATGGCGCATGTTTGTGAGAGGGCGGCGTTGACTCCTGGACCAGGGAGAGCCAGGACGGGACCACCTGCTGCTCCCGCGCCCATACCCAGATCCGCGTCTGCAACACGAAACAGACAAACATTCTCATCATTTGAGCCTTTTTGACATTGGTACACGCCGAGCGACTTCTTTCTTTTTCTTCAGAGCTAAGGAAACGATTAACTTTACCGATGAATCTCTCTCTCTCTCTCTCAAATCTTTTTTTTAATGTTAAAATAACTCAATCGTGTAAAAATTATTCAAAACTGAAAGTTTCTTAAAAAATCTTGAAAATGCTTTTGATAATTTCTCGAATTTAAAGAAAATCTTCCCTTAGATACAGCTCGAGTAAGAATATTGAGGAATGTCTACGTTAAAACATTTACAATTCCTAAAAATAAATTGTTATCTGTGTCTGCATAAAATGGAAGGCGGTTTGAGATAATAATGTAAAGTATAATTATGAAAGAAAATATACATTTACAAAACTTGCAAGTTTTTCAGTTTCGAATAGTATTCAAGATTCAAGATCTTCGTCATGTATACGAAGTGATTCAATGTGTGTTATTACTAACTTAATTAAAATTAGCATCATAATATCATTATCAATTTAATTAAAATTAGCATATACCACGGAAATCTCCGTAATCTCCGTATCGGATATCAAAAATATAAGAAATCTGAGAAAATGTCGCAATATATTTGATAGAAATTGATACCTTCTTTTGTACATAATATGCACATCAGAGTTCGGAAATACATAAGTAACATTAAAAACAAAAAGATATTGAAATTAATTTACGTCATGATATTAAATTGAGAAATTATACGTTAAATATTAAGTTATGCTTCCGGGCGGTGATATTGTGCCATAGTCAATGAATTGTCGCGGCGCAAATAATTCTAAATTTTAATAACATGGATATACTGCCGCCGATACTGGGTCAGTAGGGGTTAATTATGCAAATCACCGCAAACCTTGAGAAAATGCATACGACGATAATGTAATGTGAGTGATAAAACCGCGTAGCGAATATTTAATTAATTCGAAGCTAGGATCGATTTGCGCAACACATATTTAAAAATAACCATTCGAGAGTTCTTTTTTAAATAGTTTTCAAATAATTTGATAAAAAATTCAAATTGTTTTAAATATCATGTAAAATCAAAGTTTCTTGAAAGTCTGTGTGAATTGAAATCCAAAAAATTTTTCCTTAAAAAACCTTCGAATATCTATGTAGAATGTTAAACATAAAATTTTTACCAATGTTACGTATGTGTAACGTTGTCGTTTGTGCAAGTAAAATGAAGGATGGATTGAAACAGCTACATAAAGCGTTATGAAAGAAAAGATATCTTCCAAACATTCAAAAGACTCTCAAAATTTTCAAAATATTCAAGACTTTCAGAAATCTTTTGGTTTTGAATGATGGTTTTAAATATTCAAAACAATTCAAGATTTTCATGATATATTTGATGTGTCTTCAATAGACTACACATACTTCACATTTGCATATGTGCTTTGCAAAGTTTTTTACATTACATATCTATATACGTGGTGAAGAACGGGAATTTACAACTTCAAATTCTGCTTAATAATATCTGGCAATATTAATGCAATGTGGACATAATGCAAAGATTTATCTATGCATTAAGATAATTCCCTGCTTTTATTATTAAGAATGTAAGAATAGATACTTATATATTTATTATCAAAAGTAATTTTAATAAATAATTCTTAACAATAAAAAATGATGAGAAATAATGATGATGAAAGATAATATTATAATGAAGCTTTAAGTATGTCAGTCGTGATAAAATATTGAAAATTTACAAAAGCTAATCGAGCTAATATGTGGAAGGAAAATATTTTCGTAAACGATTTCACGAGCGCAACCTCTTAATTATCGTTCTTTCGACTGTGTTAATTATTATTAGATCATTGCATATAAAATGTTCTATTTCGAAAGTTATATGAAACGCTCTTACAAAATAAATGTTGACCAATGTAATCAATTAATATATATATCACATAAAAGTAGTATTTTTTTTCAAAATTTCATATTTTGATTAGTTAAGTCCTTTTAGTTTATGTCCAATTGTTTTCTGCATTTAAAAATTTATATATTTTATCAATATCCCGTGGAATTATATAGCTACTTATTTCTACTAAAATTTCGTAAATCATTATTAATTCAAATAAAATATAAATTCATATTGTGTTAACGTGGATTCTTACAATTTCCAGAGAATTGTTGACGTAACGTCGATATAACGTGTGAACAACTCAATACTTCACCGCGTGAACGTTTTAATTCTTACTTTTAATTAACTCTCGTGCGTGCCTTCAAGGAATACCGGAGATATAGATATCGTGCGAGAGACGTAGATCCGAGGCCTTGGAATAATTTATAATGTGCGATATAATAGAGTTAATTGATACATGATATTATTTTTCTCCGTTCTTCTCCTCTCCGGCAGTAAAACTTATATACTCGAGTTCCTCTTCTTAATTCTCAATTTGCAAAGTATGTAGGCCGATATTAAGAATTGTAAGAATTTGCTTCTATATTTGCTTCTATATAATGCCAAACGAAAGGAAATCCCCAACATAAAATCGATCAGATTAAAAATCGCGATATCGCCCCTCCCTTTCCTCCCATTTAATCCCCGAGACTTTATTACCATCGTAAGTAGATTCTAATTTGTTATTTTCCAGACAGAAGAAAACATATGTCATAAACACACCGAGTTTTATGAATTCTAAATTTGCTCCGTATGACTTCATACTTTCCTTCAGATAATTATATAATTGTCTGTATATTTGAATATGAAGGCCGCATATGCGATGCAATAAACAACAGAAGATATTGCTTTTAATGTCAAACATTATACGTATTAAGACTAAGGATCATGTCACTGATAATGTCAAACGAGAAATGATCTTTATTACGGCTCTATTTCCGAGTTTGATTGTCACATGCGAAAATCACATCGCTTATCGTCGCGACATGAGCTAGGAAATTCCTGATCTTATCGGATTTATCAGCTTTAATCTTAGAAACGCCGAAAAACAATCAGAAATTAGATGAGTTATTAGATAAATTATTCCGACTTTTTGCCATCGCAAAATTGTGCTTCCGATCATATTCTTGATTTTTAAAAAACGTAGCTCGTCGAAGTAGCGTTACATTAGAAAATGATGCAGCAGAAATGACGCGCGTGTTTTCAGATTAGAGTATAAAAATAGATTTTTTACAAATGTAAATTAAAGAAATGTTAACCCCTAGAGATATATAAGACACAACATTAGAGATATGATAGCATGAATAATTGTACCAATAAATCATCCGAAAGAATTAAAAAACATTGATATCTATTTCACAAGACGCAATATGTAGGTAAATATATTGCATAATATGTAAATATATTACACTGTAAGTATCGAAAGTCAGATTATTCGCTTGTATAAAGGTTTTATTTTTGGTTTTTGCTGAAATTGCTTCAAGTTCTATTTATTATCGCAAAGAGCGCATATATCTCTGTCATTATACCCCTCCGTTTTGCAGGACGTGTCACCCTGTCGCGCGAGAGATTTTCTTCGCGTTCGTGACTCCAGTCTGCGATCTCCGCGCGTGACAGAAAAACGGAGCAGAGCTTTCGAAATCACTTGCGCAACGACTATTTATCGGCATATTAAACGTGTTTCCACAGCCGCGCGAAGGAAGGCAGGAAAACGTAGCGGCGTTACGTAGGCAATCAGGGGGCAATTACAGTTCACAGCGAATAATCACTCGAAAGAAGGGGTACACGGAAAAAACGCTAACGTGTATAATGCGGCACGTGTGCTCGAATTATCGACGCACACATAGCGGATTTATGTATTGAATTTTTTTTCTGAACGTAATGATTTACATTCACGTCGGACATTCAGCGCTAAATGATTCCACGGCTGTACGATTCCTTTCCAATGAAGTACATTACGCTGATGATCAGGGTGATGAAATCTAGGTGATCTTTATTCCTACTAATTAATTTTATTAAACATAATACGTATTAATTCCTACTCAAATAGTGATCTTCCATTAAATCTTTTAGAATAATTTTTTAAAAATTACGAAATCTTTATTCAATAAAACTTGTGAGACGACTAGCAATGACAATTTTAGAAATAAAAGAATAATTCACGATCCCATACATTTCTTGCTAAGAACTCTTTTCATACACTCAAGAGCGCAAATTTCAATAGTTTACAGAAGTGTAAATCAACCAAGAATTATTTTAAGATACAAAAGAATCCAAAACAGCATGAATGTCACACATAAATTAAAGTAAGTAGTTTACAGAGTAAACTGTCCAGCGGCTCGTAAAGGAGGCTAGACGAGAGAACAGTTCGAGGTGAAAATATCCGAATATAAACACTCTGGAATATCTCTCCGAAATCGCATGTCTGATGCAGTTTTATTTTCTAGTGAAATCTTTTTCTCCACCTCTCGTCAAGATCTTCGAATAGATTCTACAAGCGGTTCGGTGTATTCAACGAGGCTTCGCAGAAGCAAAGAAATTCCACAGATTATTGTATTATATAATTCTAACTCTCGTTCGTTCTCAACGGCAATATCTCTTGCTCAGCAGACATGGTGCTCAGCAGTATTCACACTCGCTCAGCACAATAGCGTTGCACGGTGGCGTTTCTCGAAATAGCTACCGGGTGTGTCTATCGCTTCCGCGACCTTGGCATTAGGGAGGAAAATGGGTAATATTATCGGATAGCCCGACACGGTCAGCCTGCCCCTTCCTGCACATTCTCCTTGTCCGGCGAGACGTCGCGGATTCCGGACTTTGGAACGACGACAACGATGCCGCACGCGGCATATACCCGATCCTCCGATCCGCCCCCATGATCCCCGAAGACGCTATATCAACGCTCGGCCGCCTAGACCAGACGGAGCCTACCCGTATGTGTGTCGCCAAAGTCTAACGCTCGGTGACCCGCATTTGTTCATACGCGCGCACGCATACACGCAGCCTCCGATCGCGTGGCACGATACACCTTAAAGACACCCCGTTGTTTAGGCC